AGCACACTGCATCATGTTGCCACTGCATTGACTACACAATATAGCTCAAGCCTTGTTTGCCATCCTTTGGGCTCACCGGTAAAGACGGTTCTAGTGAAGAAAACCTTCCCATAGGCCCGGTGGAGGCATCCCTCGCTGAGTATGAGCGGAAAGGCAGGCGAGCCAACGCGGATGTGTTCGTAAAAGCTATGACAGATGGAGAGACAACGCCAGGGATACGGCTTCTCCTTTGCTCAACCATATACCGCTCGCCACGTCAGAGGATCTCCGATGGGGCATGCTTTGGCTGGTTCTAGTGTGTGTCCGGGGGCCCAGATGATTACCGTGATATGCGATGACGGCCTAGGTTCCGCATTAACTTCACGCCATCCTGTTATCTAGGATAGGAATGCCTGTCAGCGTGCAGGGCCTAGTCAGTCAACAACGGACCGGCCACGGGCAAAGTCAGCCGTTGAGTGGGGATATCGATCAGCTGAATGAAGGACCCAGTCCGTGCTATGCAACATGCATGCGGATGTTGCTAGCGTTCCATCCCAGTGGCGATGCTGGGTGACCAGGTGCGAAGGCGAAGACGCATGTCTGCAGCAGAACAAGATAAGGTGACTGGCCAACAGCGTTTCGAGTCCATAGTGGAAAGACCGGCATGTTGTGTGTCAGCCAAGCGGTAAAGGTGAGGATCTCTAGTGGACGCAAAAAACAGCCGAGCACCATCGGTGAAGCTCAGTGATGCTACACAGGTTGATTAGCGTGACCACAAACGGAAAATTTGGGGTCGAGCATGTAGCGTAGGAAATGAGAAATGCCCGAAGTACCGTGACCACATGGCGTACTAGTGCGTAAGGAGACAGCGATGCCCAACCGCAGGCGACGATACTGCTTATTCTCCAGGGCCTGGTCAGTGCATCTTGTAACGGTTGACCATAGCTCGAGGTGAAGGGAGTGGAACCTAGAGACTCTCAAGGTTGGCCCGTGTATTGCCTGGTGGCATTTCCGCTGAGGTACCAATAGCGGGAGCCATTGGCCAATCGCTTACTGGACCCAGGAAAATATTCTTGAACCGGACTGTAACTCGGCATACACCAAGCAGCACGTGATCGTATCTCGGTTCACGAATGCTCCATCTCATATGGCATGAGAGGCCCGGATTGCTCGACAAGGACACACCATAACGACCCCAAGCGCCAACTAAGGCGTCTTGACAAGGAACATGCGGGATTTTCGCATCTGGAACAAAGGGTTACGTGGTTGAGGAAGCCACGACACGTTGATCCCCTAGCAAATGTGATAACTGTCTGCAGCTGGAAACGCCGGCACGGCCTAGGGTATCATTTCAGCCCGTCTCCGCATTACTCTAGCGTCAGAGTAAGAGGGATCCGTGAATCGTAGCGATATCGTTGGATGGAACCGGGTGGGGTGCTACCACGTCGATGAAAGGATAGGCCACGGCATCAATTTATGGCCTGACAGCGAAGCGGGCTCGGGTTCGATGGATGGCCGGCGAGGCCGGCGAGAGGAGTTCGTTTCGAAGGATAAATAGCGGTACGCTGCTGCCAGAATATCAGTCTCTTCACACTCAGTCCAAAGATCTCTTCCAGTCATTGACCATAGACTCTGATCCTCAGCCATCTTTTGCAACACCGGGCTTGACCAACAACACCTCTCTTGGGTATAGACCATAGCCGTCTTTGCCAAAGCCCTCCTACCATCCAACCATTCTGTATGTGTCTTTGAGGCTCAAGGTTGAGGTGACCCCTGAGCTGACCCACTTCCAGGAACGCGATCACTGGCCCTATCAAAAAGGTCCAGTGTTTGAACCAGCAGTAACAGGTAGGTGTTCGAGTGCTGATATCCAAGCGGTTCGTGAACAAGACTAACGTGTTACCGAACATCAGACGTCCAAGCTCTTCCAGCCTGAAACATGTGCTTCTACGACCAACACAGGTTCGTCTGCGGCGACTGGAAGTGGGGCCACTTCCGACAGCACTGCGCCAAGGAGTACCGAATCGGCGAGACGTGTGGCATGAAGCTCATCATGCAGACAATTCCTACGGGAACATACTGCAAGCTCTGTGAGAAGATCAACACTAAGATGCGCCGCCGAGCCGCTGAGGTGGACCGCATCGGGCGCTGGCAGCGAGAGCCTCACAAGTTCGGTGCTTCGATCGAGAAGTCGATGGAGATGATTCGCAGTCTGGATGGAGAAATCAATGAGCTGTCTTGCGAGCGCAACCGTAGACTGCAAGCAGTCTACTGAGGTTACAGCGGTCATGGCGCGGGCGTCTGCGGTTTCGTTTCATGTATACCGCTTCGGTATTTTCTTTCAGTTTGAGGCCATTCATTTTTTGGGTCCAGAGGCGGAATGATGCACGCAGAGCTGGCATTGAGCGATGGCATACGGAACAGGGAAGGCCGGGCGTTACCTCTTACAGTCGCTTCTTTCTATTCCTGAGATTCTCAGTATTTAATGATGCAATGACCATTTCCAATTTGTATGATTGGTTGCGTCCTCGATTGTGGTGATTGTAGCCGCTGTGCTTGAAATGGGGGCTGAAGCTGTCCAATCCGTGACCGTCGCGTAGCCGCGAATAGAAGTGGAGAGCTGATGGTGCACGGCCCGGCGAGAGACAGTACGGCGCTTTCCCCTCAGTCAGGGAAGGCTGGTCGGGTGTTGGGGCGAAGAATTTGCGCCATGCAGCAAGGTCGACCATCGTGAGATGAAGCGGGCGGAGGGTCGGATTCGGTGGTGTTGTTGTGTGGGAGGACGGCTGGTGGGGTAAATTTCGCAGCTTGGCAGACACGTGATGGCGCTAGGGCTCACTCGGATGGTGCGAGCGGGTAGTGCCGATAATGCCCCGGTCTTAGTTGCCTATCCCATAGTGTCAGCTGGTCGGCCTGCACTCACTCAGTCATCTTGTGTACTCTTTCTTCCGCGTCTTTGATCTGGCTTGCGTTGCCGATGGACACCACGACATGTTTGTTCGTCCGTAAAGCTATCCTGACAGCAGCCCGCATGGCCTACGGTCGATCGTTCCCCCTGTGTGGCCGAGCTCATGCGGCGCAGATATGTGTGCGTTCTGGATTATCGAGGGAAAGGTGCGTGAACCGATGCGTTGATCAGGTGGATATGCGCAGTGGACTGCGAGTACTTCGCCCACTTTGTCGGCGTCGCTCTGATGATCATCTGTTCTCGTGGACGATCTGTCGTGTTCCGTGTGTTCCATCGTGCTTTTCGTGCGGGCTGCACGATGTTCTTTCTCGTTCTTCCAGTTGAGAAAAATGCTTTCGAGGTCAGCTAAGCTATACAGTGGTCGTAGTAGGTTGCAACAGTCTCAAGAGCCAGGAAGGAAGGTTAGAAGAGTCGACTTACGTGGCGAACGCTAAGTGGCCTGAATAGCGGCCGATCGCCTTCATACGTCTTCAAGGCTCGACTCCACCACGTTTCTTCTCCGCCATCCGCTACCCGTATCGTGTTCCAGACTTGGTGACTCACCACCCGATGTGTGTTCGTGCGAAGGAGAGCGCGGGTCGTCCAGACGAGAGGATCAAGAGCGTATGGGGCTGCCCAAGGTTCTTGAGTATGCTGCGACCGGAGCCCTACCACGGCGAGTAGGTTTAAGCGCTCGTCACATACGACAGGTTATCACTCGTGTACTACCGCTCCTCCCTCGGGCTGAAAGACGCGGTTAGGTGGACACCTGAGGGGCATACGTTCAGCACGACGACCAATGAGCCAGCTCGACGTGTTGTCAGCAGGACCACTCAGACATGGTTCGTACATGACTTACGACAGAAGGCATGTCTAAAAGCCGCACTTTGGATGTATTGGGCTGCAGTTGAATTTGTGTGCATAGCCGGAACACATGTAAAGCACCGGTTCGACCAATGATATCGCGAGACTGCACTTTTGGATATGCTGGGCAACCAACCCAGTACTTCTCTCATCTCGCTACAGTTCGGTAGTGGGCGACTAACTAAGTTGCATGTACTGGCGATACGTACCGCTTGACGCTCATTCATCCTGCTCTTTTCGTCGTCGCTACAAGCCTTGCGCATAGCGACTTTACCCTTTTGGGTCGATCTTGCTTGCCATAGCGCTCCCGCATATTATCTGCATATCGGAACGGACGCACTACGTGTCCCGCGCCAATCATGACAACATTGAGGTTCACAGTTGGATCCTGCTTTCAACTGCTTTCAACGTTTTCTTGTCTTATCGTCGCAGCAACTGTACCCATCGACAGTCTACACCCAACGTCCAGGCTGCCGTCCCAAGATCTGTGTTACCAAAAACAAGTGTAGACTAGTATTCACGGCGACAAAGGATGTATTGCGTTCGATGCAAGGCCTGTCATAGCCTATGCAGACCTTGTAGGACATGCGAATGTGGTACGTTCTTCGCCAAGGGCTTGACCAATCAGAGTCCAGAAGCGGCATTCTGCCTCGATCGCATGCCGCCGACTTCGCCCAACGAAAACCTTGGACAGCCACGAAGTATGGCACGCTAAACTGTTTCCATGATCGTTAAGATTACCTTGATTTTCTGTACATGATGCAGTAACTCGGAGATTGCAGCTTTTCCAAAACGGGTTGTTACTCCAGGGTGTTCTCGACGGTTCAATACCCAATAGCGCGCGCTCCCACCCCCACCGGCGGCTCGTCTCGCAGCGAACGTCTAGGATGGCCCTTGCTGGTCGGCGAAGGTCTTCAATTACCCCACGTAGAACTCGTAAGGAAGGTAAGATCATCCAAGTATGACAATAGTACCAGAGGTATGTTGTGTGGCAGCTGGACCAAGCGCCTGCAGGGGACGCGAGCCGATTACTGATGCCGTTCAACCCAAACAGGACAACATTGCTTCACACGCAACTCAGACTAACCCATTCTCATGACCATTGATCTTTGATGTTTCGTGCTCGATGCTCGTCGCGAGGAACATGGGCTATGCACATTGGGAATTTTCATGACCTCCGACAATGTACTGCTCACATCACACAACCCATCTACACCTTCTCCCCCACCCCAACATCCCTCAACCTAACCCTCAACCCCCCCTTAGGCCTCGCCGTAATCCCCCCCTGAATCCCCGCCACATGCCCCTCCACCTCAAACCCAATCTCAAACCTCCCCACCAAACTCGCCACGAGACAAGCAAACTCCGCTTTGGCAAACTGCATGCCAATACAGCTCCTTGGCCCATGCAAAAACGTCGTAATGGCATAGTTCGACTCCGCGCCGCCCGTGTTGGCAGTACCGGGCTGCATCCAGCGGTCGGGGTTGAAGGAGCGGGCATCTGGGCCCCAGAGATGGGTGGACGTGTTGATGGCCCACGGGCAGATTACGACGGTTGTACCCGCGGGGACGAAGTGGTTTTGGATGGTGGTGTCGTGGGCGGTTTCGCGGAGGGTGAGGGGGACGGGGGGGTAGATGCGCATTGTTTCTTGTAGGACGGCGTTTAGATATGGGAGTCGGTCGATTTCGGTCGAAGAGATCTGGCCACCTGGTTGCAGTGCTTCAGGCAGCTCGGTGCGTATCTCCTGTCGTAGTCGTGTTTGCACATCAGGGTTCTGACAGAGGAGGTATACGGCCCATGACATGGCTGAGGCGGTGGTTTCGTGGCCCGCGGCGAGGAACGTCATGAGTTGGTTTACGAGGTCTTCGTCGCTGAAACCGCCGGATTCCATGGCTACGCTTAAGATGTCCATGCCTTTTGCCTCGCCGGATTGCAGCTTCTCGCGCTTGTCGTGGATGAGGTCTCTGGCGACTTTCTTGATGGTGTCGACGGCGTTGCCGATTATGTCGTTGCGCGCCAAGGGAAGATTGACGGCGACCCAGTGGGGGAGCAGATTGAGCAATACTTGGATGAGTTGAGCACCACGAGCGCCGGCAAAGATCTTGCGGTAGGTTTCGTTGAGTTCGTTGGACGGGTTGCTGATGGCATCGAAGTCTTTGCCCATTCCTGCGACACCAATGATGTCGAGAGTGGCGCGGGAGGCCCAATGACCGATTTCGACTACGGATGATCCATCGGGGCTGTTCTTGATGGTTTCAGCCAGCTTTTCCGTAAATTCCTGGGATTTACTCCAGAAGATGGGATACAAGTCCTTCACGTGCCGGAAGTTGAACGCAGGCATAAGTGCCTTTCTTTGACGCTGTAATCGCAGACACATTAGCTACCATCTTCTGAAGTCCATCATCTATACGTACCTTATGTTCATCCCCCTCCGCCAACAAAATCCCCACGCCCAACAACCTCCCCAACCCCTTCCTCAACCTCCCCGGCTTAACAAACTCATAGCTCCTCGTCACCAACACCTCGCCAATCGCCTTCGGATTCGTCACCAAAATCCGCGGCTCATTGAACAACCACCGATAATACAACACGCCATCATTTGGCACATTGTCAATCCAATCCCGCTGCGGCTCGCCCGTCGGGTCCTTGTAGATGCGTCGGAAGTGGCCGAGCAGGAAATGGCTGTCTGGCGGCGAGGGTAGATGTCGCAACGGACTTAAAAAGAGTGGGTAGACAACGATGGACCATGCCAGTTGAACGAAGACTGCGATTGCGAAAAGCGCAATGGTGTTCTTGATATAGCCTCGCGAAACGGCGAAAGCAGGCGCATACCGCTGACTAAACCACGTCCACGCCGCAGCCGCAAGCAGCAAAAAGCGTTTCGGCACCGCCATATCAGAAACTCTGCGCAAGGGGCGCGGTTGCAGATGTTCGAAAGGGATTGACTGTTTGGGTCGCTCGACCTGCGTGGATGTGGCGAAGCGGCGAATCAAGGTGTTTCGGTAATGGATGACGTAAGGGAGTTATGTCTGCGCCACGACGGGGGTTGTTGAGCGGCGTGGTACTGTAATGCCAAGTAGTAACCAGCACAGATGATATATCGTAAGAAGAGAGAATTGAGGTTCAGCAAGCTGTCTTAAACACTCAGCTGCTCGCCCGCACATGCATCGTTTCGATTGCGCGTAGCTGGTCCGCGAAGGTCTGTGCGCAAGAGTCGGCATGTTGTCTTCCCGAGAACGCCCGCCTGATTAGGGCACATTTGCGACTGGCTGGCGGGTTTGTTGTCCCGCGTTGGCTGAGTGGCTTCAAGGCAGCAGGAATGTATACGGATCATGAGGTCGCAAACTGCAGAAGCAAGTGGACGAGTTTTACGGGATGACGTTGGGAATCTTTTCTGATGTGTGTGTTGTGATTAATGCGATTCGCGTTGCTGTATCGCGATACTACGTGGCCGAAAGCCCTAATTACGTTCCTCCCTAGACAGCAAGCTATGCTCATTTACGCTTCGTTGTCGTGTCCTCATTATCGCTTTTCCTTTCTACGGCCGTTGCAGTTGCCTCATCTGTTTGCTTCGTCTTCTTGTTTTCGGTGTCCTCGTCTTCGGTCACCGTGTCTTCGGTCTCCTTTGTCGCTACATCCTTCTTCACATCCTCCTTCGACGGCGTCTTCGACAAGTGCCCCGCAGTCTGCTTCGACCAAAGCTCCGAATACTTGCCAACTTCATTCTTCAGCAGCTCTTGATGCGTGCCCCTCTCGATAATTTCGCCCTTCTCCACAACGAGGATCTGATCCGCATCAGCAATCGTGCTGAGGCGATGCGCGATGACGAAGGTCGTGCGGCCTTGACTCAGCTTGCGGAACGCTTGCTGGATGAGCGCTTCGATGGAAGAGTCGATTGCTGACGTGGCTTCGTCGAGCATGACGATCTTGGGGTTCTTGAGGAGTACGCGTGCGATGGCTATGCGCTGGAGTTGACCGCCTGAGAGACGAACACCACGTTCGCCAACCTTGGAGTTGTAGCCGTCGGGGAAGCCAACGATGTCGTCGTGAATGGCAGCAGCGGCGCAGGCATCTTCGATCTCCTTGTCCGTTGCGTCGAGTTTGGCGTAGCGAATATTTTGTCGGATGGTCTGGTTGAAGAGGACAGGGTCTTGCGGCACAAGACCGAGAGCATTCCTGAGACTGGCTTGCGTGACTGAACGTAGATCTTGACCATCGATCATGATTGAGCCGCCGGTCACGTCGTAAAAGCGGAACAGCAATTTCAGCATTGTCGACTTGCCGCCTCCTGTCTCACCAACGAAGGCGATGGTCTGCCCGCCTTCCGCCTTCAGATTCACGCCCTTGATAATGGGCTTACGCTCGTCGTAGTGGAAGTCGACGTCCTTGAACTCGACTTCACCCGCGGAAACCACAATGTCTCTTGCACCATCTTGGTCGGCAACTGTAGGTTTAGTATTAAGTAGCTGCAGAAGGCGCTCAGCATCAATAAGCGAGCTGGAGATGTGGCGATAGCTGTAGGAGAGAACGTATAGGGGCGATGTCATTGTGTGCCAGTACATGATCAGAGTGACAAGATTGCCGACTGGCTTGCGGCCAGTGACAATCTGCGACATACCAAAGACGCAAGCACCGGCAAACCCGAGAGTTGTCAGAACGTCCTGTGCCGCATGGCCGCCCATAGATCGGAAGTAGTATGCGTATTGAGCGGAGATGGTGTTCATGATGTTCTCGGCATAGCGCTTGTGTTCAAACACCAATCGGTTGAAGTAAGCGACCGTCTGCCAGTTGTGGACAGTCTCATTGACTGTAGAGCTTTCAGTACGCTGCTTTTCGACATAGTCTCTTCGCTTCGGCTGAGAGAGCGTCGTGAAGTAGAATCCGATTACGATGTATGCTGCGCCCATGAAAAGGATGATGAAGGCCATGTAAGCGTCGAACAAGTGCGTTACGTAGTACATGGCTACGAAGAGGTCCAACAGAATGGGCGCAATGTCGAAGAGAACCATCTCGATGAGCGAGTTTAGAGATGACGCCTGTTCAACAGCTTTCAGAACCTCCCCGGAGTCTTTCGAGGTGTGGAAGTCCATGGATAGACCGAGGACATGCTCATATGCGAGCAAGGTGATGCGCCGATACGCGGAGTTCGAGATGACTAAGTTTGCGATGCCATCGATTATGCCGAGCCCAGCATAGCTGTTGATGTATGAGAACAAGATCCAGAGGCCAATATCCCTCCACGGCATGACGCCACTCTGGGTCTCATAAGAGTGCTGTAGTTTGTTGGTGATGATACCGATTTGGCGAGGAGTAAGCAAGTTCAGAACACGCTCTGTCAGCATATGAATGAGTCGTAGACCCAGGCATGTCATGACTTTCCAGTCGTCTCTCGGGAATAGGTAAGGCAAGAACACGGCGAAACCCTTGAGATATCCGAACCAGCCACCCTCCTCTTCGAGACGCTTTGCCTGTTGCTCTTTGATATCCTTGTCGTCATCTTTCGGCGGTGCCTCCTCATCGTCGCTCGACGTTCCAGTAGGTATGGTGCCATATCCAGCGTTGCCGTTGGGTGTTGATGAACCATTCGCTTGCTTTCCTAGCAGAGACTGGCGTTCCTCGTCCGTGCTGATCACCGCCTGCTTGGTGACCAGAATGATGAAGGCGTCAAGAAGCATTATGAGCGAAGCCAACGCCCTGACGCAGTCAATCACGAAAGGCGCATTCTTCTGCCGACCCTTCTCCGGGATGGAAAATGCCGTTATCAGGCATGTCGTAGTCTCGAAAGCGAATTGCAGGACAAACGCGCCAAAGTAGGCGTGCCACCGTAACGCCTTACTCGACCAGAGTATGTATGCGAGCGGACTCCAGACCAGTATCGATCCTAAGCAGCGGATTGCTGCAGGTTGTGGTGCCTCATAGTCCCAATCGCCCATTGACCGACTGAAGTAGTAAAGTACCTCTGTGATGTATGCGACCAGTATCGCGAGCATGGCGATGAGTATGCTCCACCGCCTCTTTGCTGATACTAATCGTGGTTTTTGCAATATGCACAAACTGAATGCGCAAGCGCCCATGTAGTAGAAGCCGACTGTGGGCGCATGCATGTAGTTGAGGAGGGCCATGGCCGGGTAAAGCGGTGTCGCGGGCTCTGGCTGATCCATGGTCGTGGTCGTGATCGTGAGCTCGTTTCTTCGTTGATGTTCCTGTTCTCGTAGCGGCTGTCTTAGACACTTATGGCTGCGCACAGATACACGGTCTGTGCAAGGTCGTGGGAGGCGACTTTATCGTCTCACACGGTTGTTGGAGGCCTGGGAGTAGGTCGCACACCAGGTCTCGAACTGGCAAGGGCAGGCCGCCGAGAGGAAGGTGCTTGGTGGTGTGCGAATCCGGCCGCTGCGAGGAGGCAGAGGCTGCAGCCCCAAGCTTTTGATTTGGTGATATGGTCTTCAGCCGCACCGCCACAACGCTCTTCTCCGCTTAAGAATACCCGGCGAGCTCAGCCAGGAGGATTCGAGTATGTGTATGCTGTCGTGATGGGCAGGGTTGTCTTCGCTTAAGGGCTGGGTTTCGAACAGCCCGCGACGCGTACTTTGCGACAGCCTCCAGAGTTATATGATTGCGCGGCGCAAACTTCCGCGCAGACGACTGTCACGCGCGCTTGATGATTTTGGCGGTCTGTTGATGGACGCGCGATGTTTGGTTGTCGCGCTTTGCGCATTCCGAACTGAAGAAGCTGCGCGCCCTTGTTAGCCTAGTCGGTGTGGCTAGTGCCCGCTGCTAGGTCTACTGCAATCACAATGCAGTCCACTCACCGCCGTCTCCAGCTATCTGCTCTCTGCGGCGTATAGCGTACGACGACACTCCGGTGCCGCCGCCGCTGAAGAAGCGGCAACGATGTATATATAGCGCTGCAGTTTCCAAGAGAGTCGCCGGTGAGGCCGCACACCCCCAAATTTCTCTAGAGCCGTCATCAAGCGGCGAGACCCCGCTCTAGGCAGAAGCAAGCACCCAACACAACAGCCATGGCGGCAGAGCGACCGTCGGCGCTCGAGGCGGCAAAAGAGATTCGGGAAAATGGTTCACGGCCCATAGCGGGGTTGGACTTGATGGGCGATGCGGCTCCTTGCAGGTGTCACATCTGCAAGATGCGAGTTCCTTCTGCGCCGGATTGGGTAAGCGAGGCTGCACTTCCTCAGGTACCGTGCATGCATTCTGTAGATCCGCAATGCACGACACGTCGACTTGGATACCATCAACGGCATCCACCCCTAGCGTTTGATCTAGCTTTCTTATCAGACAAGCACACCGCCCAGTCCTCTAGCAGCTTTGCTAGTCATCACGAGAGCCTCACTAGTGACTAGCAGGAGCCTCACGCCGTTGGTCTGGGAGAATGCTGTACCGAGCTTTCGTCGCCACGTCATGACTACGACACCGCGTTTGATATAGGAAAACTGACTGTTCACAGCGCTCAGAAGCGTCGCTGATGCTGCTGCGATCCACCGAGCATATCTGCATCCTCGGTTCCGAAGTCTGGTCCAGATGTCAAGCACGCTTTTGTCAGTACCAGGGTAGCATCGCAAAGCCATCGATTATGCAATGTGGCACGACATCCAACAGATCTAGATCCACTGCGAGATCGGCCCGCAGGATCCGCACGTTCGCATGGCAAAGATGGGGCCATCCAACGACCACGGCCATCCAACAGCGACCCGGCCCAGGGTCTTTTGGGGACCGTACCACACCCCACCCAACACATATACAAAGACTCCAAAGAAACTCCAGTATCTCATCGCAGCGACGCTTACTATTCGAAATCTTTCCCCATATGCTTATTGGTTAGGTTACGGAAGCTGTGAGTGGCTCATCGCTTCGAGACATCTAAGTGCACCACGAA